GCTCACTGCAACCTCTGCCTGCCTCCCAGGTTCAAGCAGTTCTCTGCCTTAGCCTCCTGAGTAGCTGGGATTAGAGGCACCCGCCACCACGCCCAGCTAATTTTTGTATTTTTTAATAGAGATGGGGTTTCACTGTCTTGGCCAGGCTGGTCTTGAACTCCTAACCTCGTGATCCACCTGCCTCAGCCTCCCAAAGTGTTGGGATTACAGGCGTGAGCCACTGCGCCCAGTCATTTATTCAGAATTAAATGCTAAATTTGACAAGCTGCCTTTTTTTCCATGCTAAATAATAAAAGTTGTTTAGAGTCTTTCAAAAGAGTAAGAATTTGATAAGAGTTTCTCAAATAACTGGAATAGGAGACACATGCATCCAGATTGTGTTTCTCATTTTGAAAATACTCATACTGAGGTTCATTTTTAGGATTTTAGCACCAATTTTGAAAATGGTATTTTAGTCTCGGAACTGTGGTGCTTTTTACCCAGTAAGGATCAGAGAAGCTAGTGAGGAAGCTGGAGATTCTGTTTTCCTCATAGTCAGATTCCAGAACAGCTGCCTTTAAGGACCATTTCAAAGTAGGGGCAGTGAGTTGATCATGTTTGAGCCTGCATTCTCTTGTGGCTGTGTCTGCTATTGTCATTACAGAAAGGTGCCAAAATGGACTGTGAGTTTCTTCTATTCTGAATTATCATTGCAGCTCCATCCACAATATGCTCAAGTTGTCACTTTATTTTTGTCCTAAACACTGACCTACTTAACCTTGGGAAAAGAAGCTGCGGTTTTAGTTATGAAGGGCTTCCTATCCAAATTTTCCTGCAAGCTGATGGTTATTAGTGCTGTATCTACTGTAGTGCAGTATCTATTAGTATGTATCTACCGTAGCTACAGGAGTCTTTCTGAGATCCATGACCTCGGGCCTTCCTCCCCCAATGTCTCTCCTTCCCTGTTTCCCCTGTTGCTTAGATTGTTGTTAGCTGTTATGTAGGTTGTAAACTTTCCATCCTACCAAACACCATACTGGAGCTTATGGTATCCAGATTTCACATATTGGTCAGTTTATATTTTTGAAGTCATGTAGTGGGTAAGATGTGGAATACTCCAAGTAGCTTTTGAATCACCTGTGCAGCTCCCTCTGTAGTTGCTGTCACCTCAGCTGGTTTCTCTCTGAGTAACCATTACTCTCAAACATTTATTGACCACCCACTGTGTGCAAGGCACTGGCACACAGTTCAGAGCAGCAGCTTGCAGCTATTAAAACTTTCTGTTGTCAGCTGGACTTAGTGGCTCATGCCTGTAATCCCAGCACTTTGGGAGGCCAAGATGGGTGGATCACTTGAGCACAGGAGCTCAAGACCTGCTTGGGCAGCATGGTGAAACCCTGTCTCTACCAAAAATACAAAAATTAGCCAGCCATGGTGGTGCACTGTGATCCCACCCAGCTAATCAGAAGGCTGAGTGGGGAGGATCACTGGAGCCCAGAAAGTCGAGGTTGCAGTGAGCCGTGATCACACCACTGTACTTCAGCTTGGGTGACAGACTGAGACCGTCTCAGAAACAAACAACAAAACAGGTTTCTGTCCAACGTAGATACCCTAGGAGGTCACTCTCCCCAGGCTCTGTCCAAGTGGCGCAGGGGAGCATAGGGCTTTGCCCCGTGATGTGCAGTCCCTTTCCACAACGTTGGAGATGAAGTTGGGCCTCGTGTCTGCGCCTGCATATTCCTACAGCTTCCCAGAGTCCTGTGGACAGTGACTGGGGAGACAAACCATGCGGGAGACATGTCTAGGAATAATTAAAAAAAAAAAAAAAAACAGGTTTCTATTCTCAAGAAAGCTGCAATGTAGTTGAAATGATATGAAAATGTATGAAAGATAAAAATGTAGGATGTCAAACTGTCAGGCAGTTAAAGCCTATGGGTGTGAAACAGCAAGAAGATCCCAGGGAAGGCTCCTCTGACTTTCCAGCAAGATGTGTATAAGACATGTATGAAAAGTATTAAGGCTGGGTATGATGGCCCACACCTGTTATCCCAGCACTTTGGGAGGCTGAGGCGGATGGCTCATCTAAGGTCAGGAGTTCAAGACCAGCCTGGCCAACATTGTGAGACCCCATCTCTACTAAAAATACAAAAATTAGCCGGACGTGGTGGCACACACCTATAATCCCTGCTACTCATGAGGCTGAAGCAGGAGAATCGCTTGAACCCAGGAGGTGGAAGTTGCAGTGAGCCAAGATTGTGCCACTACACTCCAGCCTGGGCGACAAGAGCGAAGTTCTGTCTCAAAAAAAAAAAAAAAAAAAAA